TTTTTTCCTTGGGGGGGAGGGGCCAATTATCCCAGGGGATCCAAAAGAGGGCTGTGGGAAAGGACGGAATTCCCCCCGGGCTACGGTAGGAGATAAAGCGCGCCGACAGATGGGAGACGGGACAACTGGCACAAACACGGCTCTGGCTCCCAAATCTGGGAATGGATGGCGATGGGAAATCTCTCGAAACATCTAAGGGCTATGCTTGGTCCCAGGGACGACTTGGATGCCACGGTCTCCATGAAGCTAACGGGCCCGTTCTCGAAGCTGTACCTGGACCTTTCGATGCGCACCTTCGGGGATGGCAGAAACGTCGAGACAAACATAAACAACCGTCTCGACCAAAACAACTTACCTGGTGGAGCCTTCGTCATGAACGGCCCGGGGCCGCTCGTTGGCGAGTGCGTGTACGAGCCGCCGCCACCGTTTCTACCTAGTCCTCCCTCGTCGCCAGCCACTCCGCCGCCGCCCACTCCGCCGCCGCCCACTCCGCCGCCGCCCACTCCGCCGCCGCCCACTCCGCCGCCGCCGTCGCTGTCGCCCTCGCCGCCGCCGCCCACTCCGCCGCCGCCCACTCCGCCGCCGCCGTCGCTGTCGCCCTCGCCGCCGCCGCCGTCGCTGTCGCCCTCGCCGCCGCCGCCGGCCCCGCCGCCGCCCATTCCGCCGCCGCCCACTCCGCCGCCGCCCACTCCGCCGCCGCCCACTCCGCCGCCGCCGTCGCTGTCGCCCTCGCCGCCGCCGCCGTCGCTGTCGCCCTCGCCGCCGCCGCCGTCGCTGTCACCCTCGCCGCCTCCCACCCCGCCGCCGCCCACGCTGCCGCCTGCCCCTCCGCCACCCACGCCACCGCCATCGCCCTTTTCGCCGCCGCCGCCCTTGACACCCAACGCGCTGGCGGCGTGCGACACCGGTCTCGCGGAGCTGGACTTCGCCGGGTACTGCGACGACGATCCGTACAGCGACACCGGCCAAAAACGGGCCTATGCGGAGCGCATCACTGGCAACCTCACCTCGGAGACGGGCATCCGGCTGTCGCGGCTGGGCGAGCACCAAGGAGTGGTGTTCGACTTGGTCGTCACGTTTGCCGCGGAGGAGGAAGACGTGTCAGTCTCTCATTATTGCGATTACGCGTCGTGCATCTTGGAAAAGATTTGCAAGGGCGCCCGAGACGACCCGGGCTGCAGAACCGAGTGTGGCGCCTTCCAAATCAAGGTTGCTGTCGGGACTCGCGCGACACTGGGGCTCGAGTTTAAGATTGCGGGCACCGACACGGCGTACAGCATACCGGGCACCTACCTGTCGTGGTTCGACATAGACGGCGGGGTAGATGGTGCCGAAAAAGCAGAGGCACTGGCAGTCAGGGGTGCAGATGTCACTGTCGAGGACGTCATCTGCACGTCGTGCGGCGGGGCCACCAACTGTTCCTCGGGGGAGGGCAATAACCAGGACTCAAAGAGGCTGTGGAAGGACGAATCCGCCGGCTACGTAGAGATAAGCGCGCGACAGATGGAGACGGACAACTGCACAACACGCTCTGCTCCAAACTGCGATGGATGCGATGGGAATCTCTCGAACATCTATGGCTATGCTTGGTCCCAGGACGACTTGGATGCCACGGTCTCCATGAAGCTAACGGGCCCGTTCTCGAAGCTGTACCTGGACCTTTCGATGCGCACCTTCGGGGATGGCAGAAACGTCGAGACAAACATAAACAACCGTCTCGACCAAAACAACTTACCTGGTGGAGCCTTCGTCATGAACGGCCCGGGGCCGCTCGTTGGCGAGTGCGTGTACGAGCCGCCGCCACCGTTTCTACCTAGTCCTCCCTCGTCGCCACCTGCCCCTCTGCCGCCCACGCCGCCGCCGCCCTCCACCTCGCCCTCGCCGCCGCCGCCCACGCCGCCGCCGCCCTCGCTCTCGCCCTCGCCGCCGCCGCCCACGCCGCCGCCGCCTGCCCCCTTTTCGCCGCCGCCGCCCTTGACACCCAACGCGCTGGCGGCGTGCGACACCGGTCTCGCGGAGCTGGACTTCGCCGGGTACTGCGACGACGATCCGTACAGCGACACCGGCCAAAAACGGGCCTATGCGGAGCGCATCACTGGCAACCTCACCTCGGAGACGGGCATCCGGCTGTCGCGGCTGGGCGAGCACCAAGGAGTGGTGTTCGACTTGGTCGTCACGTTTGCCGCGGAGGAGGAAGACGTGTCAGTCTCTCATTATTGCGATTACGCGTCGTGCATCTTGGAAAAGATTTGCAAGGGCGCCCGAGACGACCCGGGCTGCAGAACCGAGTGTGGCGCCTTCCAAATCAAGGTTGCTGTCGGGACTCGCGCGACACTGGGGCTCGAGTTTAAGATTGCGGGCACCGACACGGCGTACAGCATACCGGGCACCTACCTGTCGTGGTTCGACATAGACGGCGGGGTAGATGGTGCCGAAAAAGCAGAGGCACTGGCAGTCAGGGGTGCAGATGTCACTGTCGAGGACGTCATCTGCACGTCGTGCGGCGGGGCCACCAACTGTTCCTCGGGGGAGGGCAATAACCAGGACTCAAAGAGGCTGTGGAAGGACGAATCCGCCGGCTACGTAGAGATAAGCGCGCGACAGATGGAGACGGACAACTGCACAACACGCTCTGCTCCAAACTGCGATGGATGCGATGGGAATCTCTCGAACATCTATGGCTATGCTTGGTCCCAGGACGACTTGGATGCCACGGTCTCCATGAAGCTAACGGGCCCGTTCTCGAAGCTATACCTGGACCTTTCGATGCGCACCTTCGGGGATGGCAGAAACGTCGAGACAAACATAAACAACCGTCTCGACCAAAACAACTTACCTGGTGGAGCCTTCGTCATGAACGGCCCGGGGCCGCTCGTTGGCGAGTGCGTGTACGAGCCGCCGCCGCCGTCTCCACCAGGCAAGGCGCCCACACCGCCACCCCAGTCCCCAGATGGATAGAGCTCGTGTGTGTTGCTCTCGTCCGTGTGTAGACGCGTGTCAATAAAGCACATCGCGTATCCCGCACCCATCCAGTTTCGGGTAATCAGTCTCTGTCGCGATTTGCCATGCCCACCATTTCAGACAAAGCGGTACGACACCAAAATTGTAATATTGGAGAGTGCGAAACTAAGAGGTCTAGCCGGGTCTATAGAGAGCTAGAGAGTACAAATTCATGTGTGCATTTGGTCGGTGTGTGCCTCGAGAGCACTCGATCTAACTCAGAGCTCCAGAGGCATCACAACCAATACACACTCAAGCACTCGTATCGCACGCACTGCGAATCCGCCTGCTCTCACCAACGTATTCCCTCACACGCTTCGCCCGCGTTCTCCACCTACGCGAGCTTCCCGCCGCCACTGCAGCCAACGGCGACGGAAAAGGCTCCCTCGTTGGTAAGGTAGCCGTCAACGACGAGCAGGTAGCAGCCCACCACCAAGGTGGTGCTCAGCACGGAACGGAGTTCGCATTGACCGCAATCGTCGCACTCTGCCACCTCGTCGGCGTCCTCCAGCGTCCAAACGCGCAGCCACGTGTCATAGTCGGAGCCACACGAGTCAAAGGTGAAGCGGCCAGGGCTCGTCACGCAGAAGAGAAAGGAGGCGTCGCCGGCGGGCTCGCCGCCCAAGCTTGGCTCCCCGACAGTGCTGCCCGACACCTCAGAGTCACAGGAAAGGCGGCCCACGTCCAGGGGTGGCAATGCCGGTGGTGACGGCGATGAGGGTGGCGAGGGCGGCGAGGGTGCTGGGCTCGGTGGCGGTGCGGACGGAGATGCCCCAGACGGCTCCGGTGGCACTCGAAATCCATACCAGAGGCAAACTCCGCAGGCGGCACTGGCCATGAGGACGAAGAGAGTGCAGCAAGCCGAGGCTCTGTTGCGACTGCGGCGCTCATGAATATGCGCCTGCAGCGGCACAGCCGGCACTGCGGCTGCGGTCCGTGCGTCTGCCACGTTGCGGATGGAGACCGCGACCGCGGCAGGTTCAACAGGTTTTGGCTTGCTGCGCGCCTCGTCGATCACTCGCGCAAGGCGCTCGTGGGCGTCAGAGGCCGCAGTCGTTAGCGTGATGTCAGAGTGGCCGAGCTGACCGAAGCGAGAGGCCTCGCCGTATGAGGGTGGAGCCTCGTCGTCGTTGCCGGCGTCTTTGCTCACTGACATGTTGTCTTCAAGAACTGTCGGCAATCAAAGCGAGCTTGCGCCGCCTTCACGTCTCGAGGTCTCTGGAGGTTTCGAGGGTGATCTGTGATCTGTGAGGGTCCGCCCGCAGGCGCATTTTGTATACCGAGGCGGTGCCCGGTGCCGAACCTGTCGGACCTTAAGACAGCATTGTAGATCCCTGGGCGAGGGTGGTGGCGTCCCCGTCGGGAGGGGCTGTCTGGGGGGGTGCCCTCCCACCGTCACCTCACCAGCGTCCCGGTGAGTACGGCGATCAGAGCTCCCCCGCTCGTCAGACTTCCCCGTTGGAGGTAGGCCGCTCGTCTAGCCAATCAGCCTTAAGCGAGCGGCCTGGCCGTTGGAATGGCCGGGTGGAGAGAGGGGCGGAGTCGGCTCGGAAGCGCGACTGCAGCCACGGGGACTGCCCGCCCACTCTCGTCGGGTTGAGGGGAGGACGACTGTCTCTGACGGCGGACCTCAGTTACGAGCCGCCCTCCCCTCGAGACGCGAGGCCAGTGCACTTGGGGCCAAGCCCCAGCGTGCACCGCCCCACACGCCTCACGCGGCCTGGCCATCGCGTGGTGGCCATCTCAGACGACTGGGGAGCACGGGGGCAGCAGTCGAGGGGGATCATGCGGTAGGCCGGCAGGTACTGCGCCGGCAGCACTACCCTTGCGCCGACCGTCGCGACGTCCGGCAGCGGGCCGTCGGTAAAGAGAAGGCAGTCGATGCGGCTATCGCCGCACTGCTGCAGGCGGCGCTTTCGAGACGCGAAGGTGGCGGCGCTCGTGATGATGGAGAGGACGATGCGGATGTCGTGCGTGCGCTCACTGCCTGCGGGCAGCCACGTTGCCGCCAGCGCCGCGTCGGTCGGAGGCGAAGGCAGCGTGTCTCCATGCGTGCGAAAGCGCAGCTGTCGGCTAGTCGCCGACCACACCCACAAAGAACCCTGCACAAAGATCGCAAGGGCGGGGGCCTGTTCCTTTTTACCCATCTCACAGTAGAGAGGTGTCCGTTTTTATTTATTTATTTATCGTCAGACCTGGCGCTTAAGATTTAAAAACGCTAAGCCATATCTCCGCGAAAAGATCGATACACCGCCGAAAGTATCAATGTCAAGCAGGCGCCGGAAGGCCCCGCACGGGGGGTCCCGGCTGACGTCATAGGCGGGGATGAAGATTGCGAGCATTGAGCGGATATGTACGATAGCGCGTTGGGACTTCCGCGAAAGGCTGTTCGTGACGGAAGTCCCAAGTCTGTTCACGCGCTATGTACGATAGCGCATGAAGGCCCGTGGACAGACGACGCTGCCACGTTCGGCCGGAGCGTCCTGGGCGGGCAAACGCCCGCCCCGGTGGCGCCGACTCTGGGATTGTAGGTTGAGTCTTGGTGCAATGGTGGTACGACGGTCACGAGACGGCGGACGGACGGGACCTCGCTCCTGACTCTAGCGTCAGGACGACGCCACGGGACTCTAGGGGAGAGAGAGTGTGAAGGGAGTCTGGGTTGGGCAATTGCATTAGACAACATCGTCAGCGAAGGGTCACGCTGAAGCAATCTTACCTGCTTCTTCCGCGGTAGCTCCCAGCGGCTTCAACTCCTTCACTAGGCTGAGCCGATTGCGCGCCGAGTGGTCGTGGGCCGCCCAGCACGCGTAGGTGCGGTGCGCGCTTTGCCACTCGGAGGAACCGTTGTTGGAAAAGCAGTAAAACTCTTCCGGCAGCAGCAGCACGCGCAGCCGCTGCGGCGCCTCGCGCCACGCCAAGTACAGCATCTCCTGGTCGCTCTGCCGTACGCCTTGGCGCGAGCCCTCTCGCAAGAGCGCAGAGGCGCGCTCGAAGAGCTGAAGTGTGGCTTCGCACCGGCGGTAGACCATCACGCAGCTGCACCCCATCGGCACCATGTCGAAGGGGCTGTCGCGGTTTGGGTCCAGCGGCATGGCGAGGTCGGACACCTCTGCCACCCACCGCATGCTCTGCACAAAGTCGCGCCTCAAAAGGACTACGTCCGTGTCAAGATACACGGTTTGCTCAAAGGGCGTGGTCGCCAGCGCCCGCAGCTTGTGCAGGTACACTTGCCGCATCGGGATCATTGACCCCCTGCCGGCTGCCGGCACGCTGTCGATAGATGGCTTGGCCCACGTCCACAACATGGACGAGGCGTCGCCGGGCCGCTGCCGCAGCTTGCCCGGCGCATCGAGTGAACCCGGGCTTAGATTCGTATACACGGCCAGCGGGATCCTGTTGGAGTTCAGGGTGCGAACAGTCTCCACGCTGATCTTGAAGTCAAAGAGGATGCCGAGCTTGGCCCGCTGCTCGTCGTTCCGCCGCAAGATGACGCACCAGAGGATGCCGAGAGTCAAGCCGTGCCCCGCCCTGGAGAAGTTGTAGGACAGGATCACGTCGTTGGTGGTCTGTAGGTGAGCAGGCGGGGCCATCGCTCACATGCACATGCACATGTACATGCATGTGCATGTCAGTGTCATTGACAACCAACTCCTTCGGACATCGAGGAGCACGGGGATGCCAACTTTGAGGCGCGAAAGGCGGCTGGGTTGGCGGCGCATGCGGCGGCGCTCGCGGACGGCCTCTCTCGGGAGGCGGCTTGCGACGCTGCTCTTGCGGCTGTCAAGGCGCTCCTGCTTAAGCAGGAGCCATGGAGGCTCGAATTCCTCAAGGCGGAGGAAGGCGTGGGAGAGGCGGACGCGAACAACCGCCGCCGGCGGGCGGCGAAGGGGCGAGTGCGGCTTCAGGGTTTGTCCGGTGAGGGGGGCGGGGCGGGGCGGAGCGGGGTGGTTTGGGTCGGGTCGGGGTGCGCCGGGGTGGGGCAGGGAGGTTGCTCGGGTCGGGGTGGGGCAGGGTTGTGGGGTGGGATCTGGTGGGGATGTCGGGGGGGTGGGGTGGGGTGGGCGCCGGAGTGGGAGTGGAGTGACTGCTCCTGTGGTGGGGGCGACGGCTTCTGAGGAAGCCGTCGAGCGCCTTGCCTGTCGCGTGAACCGTGCTGTGCGATTCCTTTTCAAATTTCTTTTGGCCGCCTTTTAAATTCTTTGAGCTTAGCCTTCGATGTTATGAAACAAAAAGGCGGACATGGCATTCGCTTTCGGGTAACCTCAATTCTTTTGAGGTGACTTGGACCACCAAGAGCTGGCTGGGGCTGCAGAAGCAGCGCATCTCAGTCGTTCTTCACACGGCAATCGCAGAGCAGGTCGTGAATGAGCTTGCCTGTGGCGGGGGTGGGCGGGTGCACGGAGCTAAGTGCCTCGCCACCCTCGCAGGAGTCGCTTAGGCGGCTCCCGTGGTGTACCTGTGTTAGTGCCAGTGCGCGCCAGTCCCGTGCCCAGTGTTAAAGAAAGAAAGAAAACACACAACCCAAGGGAGGGATGGGAGAACGGCACGCCGCCACCACACAGGGATTTTAAGGAGAGGAGTGTGGTGCGCTAGCCGTCGCCCACCCTGGGGAGTCTGCCTCTTCGTATCTCTTTTCGCAGTCTCTCGCCGCTTCTCGCTGCAACCTTCATGCCACCTCGCGGCCGTCCCACTCTCGTCGGTCTTGTGCGAGGGAGTTTGGCTGTAAAGTTTCTTTTGACCACGGAACGAGAGCATCATAACGTGTGTGTGTGTGTGTATGTACATGCTCCAACCCTATATGCTCCAACCCATCCTCGTCGCGCTCGCCGCCGCCGCCCCTCGCGCTCAACCGCCGCTGAAGGCGGAAGCGCTTTACACCGGCCTGCCACCCGCGAGCGGCCTCTATGCTCCATTTGTCCACCGGACGTTCGAGTTGCTCGACGAGGCGGCGGTACCTCTGGCGCCGTACCCGTCGCCGGGAGATCTGCAGCTGCTGCGCAGCGGCGACGGGCACGGTGGCGCCACGCCTGCGCTACTGAGCGTGCGCGCCTTCTCGAGCGAACGCCTCCGGCACGGCAGGCTGCTGCTGCTCGACGGCGGCTCATCGCTGCAGGTGCTCAACCTGTGCTTCTTCCCGCGGCTCGACTCGGCGCTGCCCACCCTCTCGGCGGACCTCGTCACGCTGCCCGGCGGCTCGCTGGTCGCCATCGACTGGCACTCTCTAGATGCTGAACTCTCCGCGGGCCTGCACTCCTGTCGGGCTGCGGACTGTCCCACACAGCGCGCATGGAGAAGTTCGCGGCTCGCCTCACCCTCCGCGCTCATCCACCTCAGGCAGCCGAATGGCCCCGCCCGCCCGCACTGCGCCGAGGCCGAGGCGCGTCTCGACGCCGCACCACCGGCTTCGAGATGATCCGAGATGAGCCGAGATGAGCCGAGGTGAGCCGAGGTGTAGGCGCAGCTCGACGCCGCGTACGCGAAACACCGGCGACGGCTCCCGCCCGGAGGGCCGGTGCCGCCCGACTCTGCCCGCTTCTTCTCGGACCGTTTCCTCTGGTCGCGGCTGCCGGCCAGCACCCCTCCGGACGAGCTCGTCTCGCTGCTGCTGCCGGCGATGGAAGACTACACGAGGGCCTACCTTCGGCTGCTCGCGGACCCGCCTCCCCCGTCGCCGCCGCCCGCTTCCGAGCTCGACGCTGTGCTTGCGGCTCAGCTCGAGTACGCAACCTACCGCACCGAGAGGGACCCTGCGCGCCCGATGCTCTCGCGCTTGTTTGGCGAGGAGGCGGCCGGACGGCTGCTGCGCGAGTCGCTCTTCGACTTGCCGCTCCGCCTCGCGCGAGGGGAGCAGGCGCACTAAGGCTTGAGGTGGGTGCGGGCGCGTGGGGCGACCGACACGCCTCTCAGTACTCAGCAAAACGGCGACGATCGTATCCATATCGCATACGTCGATATACGTTACTGGGCTGGGTTTTTAGGCATTGTGGGGTTGGCACTCCCATCGACCCTCATGACCTCCTGCGGTCTCTGAGATGGACACCAGTGGGTGTGGGACCACAGTCAGGATACACTCGAAGGCTGGGTAAGCAGTAGAGGTCGATACTCGACGCGTCCCACATGGTCTGTGTCGCTGTCGGCACGCTGTCGACAGGACGTCGAGCGACACCGGTGGCAGTGCCACCCAGGAGTGGTCGGGCGGTTGCCCGTCATGAGAGAGCCACCATGTGATCCGTATGATGATTCCTGACAACCGCCTCAGTCAACTTTCGTCACAGTTCCCGCTCTGAGAGGAGCTGCGGGTCAGCTCGACAGCTGGAGCTGTGTCGCCGGCGTGCGGCGGCCTGCCTCCAGAGGTGCCTCTAGGTGGACATTTTTTGGTCACCGTGAGAGAACGCGTTCGAATTTTCACTCCGGAACTTCAACTCTGCACGCGCACCGGCCAGGGCTACAATAGTGCCAGTGAGGCGGAGGCGCGAGTCGGAAGGCCGCGACCGTCAAGTGTTTTCGACATTTTCCTACAATCGCTGTGAACCCAGCCACGTACGAGTCCAAGACCAAGCGCCAAAACGGTTATTAGAATCCACCTCCCATGCCGTGCATTCTGGATCTTGCTGTTCGTTGAGAGTGTTGTGCGAGGGCGGAGCACTTGGATTGCAGTCGGCAGCCTCACATCCAGGAAAAAAGAATTTAAACAAAACAACTCTCGCTCAGGGCCGGGTGCAAGGCGCCGGCCTCGGCGCCACCTCGGCGCGCCGCACGGGCGCGGCGAGCCTCTGAGCGGGAGCCGAAGGTTTGCTGCGGTGGTGGGAGGGAGGCGGTGGGTGGTGGGTGGTGGGGTGGTTTGACTTTGCCGCAGAGGCCGTCCCTCCCCTAGCTGTGAACAGCAAAACAGTAATAGGAGCACACATGACGGACGAGGCTGCGCCAGCGCCCACCTTCAAGAAGCCGCGCCGGCCGGCCAACATCCGGAAGCGCGGCGCGTCCGAGGCCGAGGCCGACGCGGACGCTGATGCGGCTCCGGCCGGCCGCCCAGGGTGCGCCGCGCCGCAACTGCCCTCTCTCGGGCCGCGCCCCGCTCATGCCGCCTTGCGCTTCGTAGGAACTCGCTGACGGTGATGCGCGAGCTGCAGCGCCAGCGTCAGCGCACAAAGGGTGTCGCGCTCGACATCAGGGCGGAGGGCGGTGCGGCGGAGGAGGGCGGCGGCGAAGAGGGCGGCGACGCGGGCGACGGTGGCGCGGGGCTCGACTCGACGTTCACGGCGCAGGCGGACGCGAGCGAGGTGGACCCCAACATGCTGCGGTATATCGAGGAGCAGATGAAGAACGGCGGGAGCGCCGACGGCGCGGCGGAGGGCGCCGCCGACGGCGACGAAGACTCTCTGTACGTGGCGCCGGCGCACATGCGGGAGGCAATTGCGCTGGGGCACCTGCGGCACGAGCAGGCGATGGTGCAGCAGGGCGCCGACGAGCAGGGCGGCGCAGCGACGCGCTGGCTCGCCGGCATCGCCGAGGCGAGCATCTCTCTCGGGGGCTGGGCGCGTCCTCGGCAACACGTACGCGACGCGTCCCCTCGTCTGCTCGACCGTAGGTGGAGCTCTCGGTGGAGGAGCGGATGGCGACGGTGGAGGCGACCGAGGCGGCCAAGCGGCGCGCGGTCGAACAGCGCGCGCAGCGCGCCGCGGCGGCCGGCGGTGGCGTGGGGCCGTCGCTGGTCATTCCGAGCAACTTCAACGCAAACTTCCACGCGCACCGGCGCGAGACCGCCCAGGCGCGTGCTCCTCCAGGCGGCGGCGGCGGCGGTGCCGGCGGTGGCGGCGGGCCCCGCTGCACCGACGGGCTGCGCGCGGTCGAGAGCGATGGCGCCGCACTCAGCGCATTCAAGCGGCGGAAGCACTGACCGCGCAGGGGGAGAGCAAGCCGGCCCGGCCGCCGTGCGCGCACGCTGCACGCAGTATAACCAGTACATGTTGTATCAAGAAGAGAGTCGTGTTCTCTGTTCTCGAGGTTGTGCGCGGTGGGTGCCCGCTGCAGCGGGCAGCGGGGAGAGGTGCGGGCGCATCGAGTGTGAGTCTGTGGGCTACAAAATCCTGTTAGTGATAGTGTGTATAAAGCCGTAGAGGCTAGAGGTAGAGCGAGCGAGAGCGTCCCTGTGCGCGGGACTGCGGTCTCTCGCCGGAAAAAGGGCAGCGACGTAGAATAAAAACAGTCTCGACAACTGGCACATGTGAGAGATTATCCGCGACGCGCGAGACTCGAGAGGAGACAACGAGAGTAGAGCGAGTACAAGCCGCACGTGCGCGACGTGGGCGTGCGTGAGGGGCAACCCCCGGGACGATATAGTGTGTCTGTATGCAACACGCAGATCACAGTCCTCGAGGCCCGAGAGCGTCCGACGCGACGACCACCTCACAGGCCGGCGCTCTGCTTCAGCCGGAAGTCGCTCTCAGAGATGTAGCGTGTCTCAATTTTGATGAGGTGAAAGCCGAACTGGGTAGCCACCGGGCCGTGGACTTCATCGAGAGCGTACTTGGGCTCGTAGATGTCCGCCTCGTTTTTGGGGTTGATCAAGCCGGTATCGTATAGCCCAAAGACAACGTCGTCAAACTCCTTCACCATTTGCCCGGGCGTGAACTTCCCAAGCTTACCGCCCCGCGCCGCCGAGTTGCAAGTGCTGTGCTTCATTGCGGCCTCGCTAAAGTCCATGCGGCCGCTTTCAAGCGCGGACTTGATCTCAAGCGCCTGAGCCTCTGTCGGCACGAGGATGTGGCTCGCGCGAGCGTTTGTTTGCTCGTACGTCGCCGGCGAGTTGGTGTAATCCTTGTTGTCGAACGCCTTCTTGAATGCATCAAAGAGTCCCAAGCTCACGGGCCCGCACCGCATGTTCCCGCCCCTTATCGTTGCTGCCGGAGCGGGCCCGACGATCAGCGCGACGACTGCCGGTGCGAGAACGAGATGCAGAAAGCCAGTCATTGGAGTCCAAGCAGGGCAGCTAGAATTTTCTCAGAGAGGAGCGCGCACCACTCTCTTCGCTTCGCCACCCCCAAAAAAAGCATCCAGTGTCACTCCCCTTTCTCCCGGCCCGAAAGGCGAAAGAAGCCGCGAGAACAAGGGACCGGCAGGCGGTGGCGTCACAGGACGAGGCAGAAGAGAACGACGCGACAGAGGAGGAAATGACAAGGGAGAGAACGACGAGAGTGGGAAGACCGCGAGGTGGCATGAAGGTTGCAGCGAGAAGCGGCGAGAGACTGCGAAGAGAGATAGGAAGAGGCAGACTCCCTAGGGTGGGCGACGGCTAGCGCACCACACACCTCTCCTTAAAATCCCTGTGTGGTGGCGGCGTGCCGTCCTCCCATCCCTCCCTTGTTCAACGGTTGTTCAACCATACTTTGAGCCTTAATTATTAATTCGTGTTTGGGTCTCTGAGGTCGATACTAGCGTCTGAGAGAGAGATTTTTAGCAATACCAAACAACTCTAACACTCACACGTCATTTGAGCGTCTGTAACTTGCCACAAGCATGCTTTACAAAAGTCCAGCGGAGCTGGACTCGCAGAACGGCCGTCCGCGCGCGCTGTGAACAGCGCCGTGGTTGAACACTGTTCAACGTCGTTGAACACGTGACGGTCCAGTAACCGCAGACAGTTGATTGATTATCTTACGTCCGTCCCGCCGCCCGCCGCGCGGCCAGACTCCACATCACCTCAATGTAAACGAACATTGATGGGAAGGCGAAACACAGTCCGACCAACGAGACAGTGAGGTGTTCACAGGTAGGTTGAGATAAGAAGCCCGAAGTTTCGTTCCCTGAGCTCCTCAAAGGTCGCGACCTCAAAGGGACGACCTGGAAGTTTGCTCGCTATGCCCCGAATTGACCTCATGCGCGGCGAGACGGCGCGCGCCGTGGCGGAGGCGGGCGGGCTTTACCTCGTCCCAAGCTCAAATGCGACGGGCTATCTTGGCGTCACGAGGGATCCCGCCTGCAGGTCCATCACCGTGCCGCCCGCACTGTCCCAATGACTTGTTTGCACCGTCTCCCTCCCACCTGTGCATGCAGGTCCCGGTTCCGGGCCGAAGTCACCATCGATAGGAAGCGCAAGTGCCTCGGGAGCTTCAGCTCGGCGGCGGAGGCGGCGCTGGCCTACGCGCGTGTTTAGATGATGTAACGTAGAGACACAGGCTCTCGCCCCCCGGCCCCCCCCGGAGCCCTCCCCCCTTCCCCCACCGCCCCGCCCTGCCCCGTTGAGCGAGCCGCCCTTGCTTGACCCCTCACAGGCACGCCATCAGGGCCCGGAAAAGAGCAAGGACTTGGCCCAAAAGTTTGCCGAGCGATCCGGCGAAAAAACGGGACTAAAGCGTAAGAGCCCCCAGAAGCCCCGGCGCAATGGCGGCCCTCCCAAGGCGGCGGAAGCGAAGTCAAGTGCGGAGGAGCCCGCGGTGGAGCTGAGCGAGGCGGGCTCGGAGAGCAGTGACGACCATCACCCCATCCCCATCAGCGAGCCTGCCGAGCAGGACGAGGCGTCCCACATTGACAAGGGGGGGGGCCTGCGCTTTTTGCTTTGCTTTGGGGACTGGAAATCACAACCCCCCCCCCCCCCCCCTCAGGCGCGCAGCAGCGCCGTTCGCACCACCATGCCCCGACGCCAGTACTCCTGCGACGAGGTTCGTCTGAGGCTCGACGGGTCGGGGATCACCGAGAGCGTCAACTTCACCCCGCCAACCGGGGCAAAGCGTTGCCGGGTCCTGATTCTCTACTCGTGACGCGTTGATCGACCCGACCGCCCACGCGTTAGAAGGCTGTGCCATTCCACCCGTTACACCATCTCCAATCTCCGACTCCCTTAACCACGTTATGCTCCGCTGCAATAATGGCACAGCCTGCGAGCCGTTCTTTCTCCCCCCACCCCTTGGCCGGTTCGACGAACCTACCATTCGACGAACCAACCAGCGATCCAGCACCGAAATCGACCTCGTGCCCCTCCCCCCCCCCCCT